CACGTTTTCAGTTTTTCACTATGGTGCTGCCACTACTAATTTGTTGTAACATATTCCAACAGCTTCCCCTTATTTAGGAACCAATCATTGTATCATCTAGAATCTTCCTCATGTACTATTTATACCGCTTTGCAGCTCAATAAAATAATCAAGCTTGAGCCAATTCATTATTCAACTTACTTGCATTTTCGCTTGGTATCAGAGCTAGGCCCAATTNAAGGTGAGGGCAATCCTCCCCTAATAAGCCGGTTTTATTAGGTGGAGTTAGGCCCAATATTCCTAACATGGTATCAGAGCTAGGCCCAATTATGCAATGTTGGGTGCCACCCAATATCGATTTGTTCACAGTTGTTTGGCATGGTCTATGTTGTGCGTGAGGGGCCGTATTAGAATCCCACATTATTTGGAAAAATATAAATGATTCACTTAATAAGGTGATGGCAATCCTCCCCTAATAAGCCGATTTTATTAGGTGGAGTTAGACTCAATATTTCTAACTTGGTATCAGAGCAGGTTAAATGGAAAATACCGGTGATTCCCAACCAAATACTGATGCTAACTTTGCTCCAGCATCCATCTCAAGTAGCAACACTGGTGCAATGTAAGGAATCAGCAACTCCTTACCTTTTGGCATGAATTTGACCCAGGTGGTCTCAGTTAAGCTCGATAAAAACAATTTCCTTCTTTGGTAAAATATGATACTCCCTATAATCAGGGGACATGACCTTGAAGGATATATTCTGGGGACAAAGCTGTGCCTACCAGAATTTATTAGAGTTCAGGTTGCTGGTAAAATGGGAGCCAGCATCGAAATGACTAAAAATTCAGAACTTACCCAATGGAGATCAACAAACCAGCCGCTGATGGGCTGGCTTTACTCCTCCATGACTCCGGATATAGCCATGAGGGTTATGGGAGCAAAAACCTCTAACGAGCTATGGACGGCAATTAAGGAAAGTTTTGGAGTTCAGAACAGATCCAGGATAACCTTCCTCACTGGTAAACTTCAAAAATCAAGAAAAGGGGCTATGAGCATAGATCAATACCTCAATAAAATAAAACTGCTGGCAGATAATCTGGAAATCGCAAGAAAAGCTGTTCCTCACTCTGATCTCGTAACTCAAGTCCTCGCAGGCTTGGATGAAGATTACACTCCAATTGTAGCTCAGATCAATAGCAAAGATAACATTACTTGGGGCGAATTACAGTTACATTGATGACCTTTGAAAGTAGGTTGGAGCATCTCAACTCAGTCAGAAATGAAATGGCAGGAATCAGCCTTGACCCTCATGCCTCAGCAAATTTTTCTCAAAGATCTAGTTCGAATTATCAACATTTTAGATCCAGTAGACCACACTCAAATGGAAGATTCTCTGGTTACAGCAGTTTCAGAAGAGCAATAAGAGGGAGAAACAGAGGTGCAGCCTTCTATGGTAGTGACAGGCCTGGCAGTGATAGGCCTATATGCCAAGTGTGTGGAAAAGCTGGTCATAAAGCTAATATATGCAACTTCAGGTTCGATGAAAGATATACAGGTGCACCACCAAACTACAGATGAACTTATAATCCTTCATCTTCACCAGCAGTCTATGTTGCAACTCCCAACACACTAAACGATCCAGCTTGGTTTGCTAATTCTGGAGCCAGTAGCCACATTACTTCAAATAAACAGAATCTCACTTCACCAAATGAATACACTGGTAAGGAAACAATCATGGTTGGAAATGGAAACAAACTCCAGATCTCACACTTTGGTAATAGTCATCTCCCAACTATGAATAACAGAACTCTTGTTTTAAACAATATGCTTCTTGTACCTGAAATCAAGA